ACAGGCTCCTGTAATCGATAACGGTCACCTCTTCCTCTGGTGCATCTAAGTCTTGATAGCTGCACCATTTTCTCATACATTAGTTTCTTAGAGACAATGCACTGTCATTCATATGGTTACCGACACTAGACTGAACCACAACTGATGAAAAGATGAAAGCACTGTGTGATGATGATACTCATAGTCAGAAAATATAGTGAAACTCGTTACCTGCGTAGCCGTCGAGGATCCTGTCTAAAGGCCGGAGACAAAAGAAATGGAGCGGGACCACCTCTGCCGCTACCTTCAAAAGGAGGGTTAGGTCCACTTGGGTCCCTGAACATCTGCATCGCAAACTCAGGTGGTGCTGGTACAAATGGTCCCAGTGGCCTGCCCACATCATCATTCAGACAACATTCAAGATCATTGGGCAAGTAACTAACTATTTCTTTTACTCTTACGACAAAAACATGAGAGAGAGAGCCTACCCAGCACCGGGAACAGGCATCAGGACTGGTGGTGGGTTTACATCTGACGAGAAGGAAGGAACATGCACGCCCCCTTGTCCACCAAATGCATCGTACCCAACTTGCTCGGGGTTTGCACCATCTGGACCATCACCATCACCTCTCTGTTGATCCTCTAACCGATCATTTCCGTCATTTCCATTAGCCCYTCCGTCACGCTCTCTACGTCCACCTCGATCATCCCTCAGTCTGTTCTCCATGCCTTGTTTACGTCTCACAGGTCTATCTCTCTGTCAGACGAATAATATCTCACCCGCATAAGTAAACTCTACACAAAACTAAACAAGGAAAACCAAAAAAGTTCAGACTAGTAAGCATTCCAAAAAACGACAAAAAGTACCGGGCCAGGTTGCTGTGTGGCTGCTTGTCCCCCTGGAGCATTAGGATCACTGCAAACGGCACATAATTCTTTCATTACAATACCTTCATAAATGACAGAAGAGGAATACAAGAGAAAAACCCTACGTACTTCATATAGTTCTGAAAATACAATTCTTCCKGCACTTTGCCAGTCAGATCCACGACAAGCTCACTGTGTTTCAGCTTGAGATGCTTGTGCACAAATTCAGCAGCATGAAAAAGCTTTGTGCAGCCCTTGGCTCCACAACCATATTTCCAACCATACTTCTCATCCCTAATCTTTCGGACATGTGGATCTAAAGCTTCAATAGCGGCAGCATCTATCTTCTCTTTAGCAGCCATCACTTCCAGGGGATCTTGACCTTTCAACCTCTCTTGCCAATAAGAGTCAAATTTACTTTCGCTCTCATCTCCTTTTGCGACAGAACCTTTTCCTTCCCCTCTCACATGCCGCATACCCTTAGCTTCCTTCGTTTCAATCTTTCCATAATAGTCCACACCATGAACACGCCAAAGATATGTGACAAGCGTGTCAAGCAATTCAACACCCTCAAGGCCTTTCACTGATGTCAACCCCCTTATGATTATAACTGGGCCAGTTGAACCACTGTGAGACTTTTCTCTATTCGATTTATCATTTTCTGAACCTGATAAAACATTTTCCTCGATTCCTTTCTCAGAGTCTAGCTTACGCACAAGGGCTTGTGCTTGTTCAATGTCAGTTAAGATTCTCTTTGGATCAGAAGTGAAACTGGGTGCTTTCGGTGCGGCTGAAAGAAGTTCAGTCTCTTTAGCTTCACCCCTACCAGGTCTTCTTCTTTTACCACCATCAGCTGCTTCATCCTCAGAGTTTGGCTCACTGGTTCGCCCGGATTTATTCACTGCAGTCACTGCAGGACCTCTGGAACAGATCGCGAGGACACTGTGAGCTTTTGAAATGACAGAAATGTGATCATAATCATAAATGCGGAGTAAAGGCCAAAGAAATTATCTTACAAATCTAGCGTCCCACTCTGCAAATCAAGTAAGAAATCCTTTGCCACCTTCCGTGCAAGATCATTCCTCCTGTAAATTACAAAGGAATATATACAGTTGAAATAAATAAAAATTATTTTTTATAACGAAAAAATTTAATCAAGACTACAAGAGATCAGAGAATGGTGATTACTAAAACTAGATTCAACTGCTGCAAATAGTTCTTGAACCCACCTTTCTATGACAGAGAGTAGATTTGTTGGATGATACTTATTTTTCAACCTGGATGCATAATAGAGATAAGCATGTTAATAGCTTAGCTTGCAGAATTTTTCCAGAATAATGTGAAAGAGGGAAACAGACAGTCGAAATCACCATTCTTCCTCTTTGTGAGTGTTAAAAAAGACACGTTTCTGTGTTGTAATATACTCTGTCATGTATTCTTGATATCTGCATCAGGAAAAAAGGCATTACCCCTGCAGCAATACGAGACAACTGCTTAGACGTGAAGACTAAGTTGCAGTTATAACTTTACCTGCGTTCAGCTTCTGATGGCAATATATCATCTTCCAACTCTTGGATAAACTGTTTGTATGACATTAATCCGTCCCTGGATAAAAGAAATACAACAATATTTATTGTTAAATATAACAGCAAGGGAGTGTAGAAACAGCACTAGTTGGGTTTCTGTTGTGAAACAGTAAAAGAGATTGAAACTACACACTTGGAATGAAATAATAGCCATCTCTCATACTCCACGGCGATAATGGAATAGAGATAATAGACTTCAATGTCGCATGTTTGAGAATTTTTTTTTTTTAGTAACTAATCTGATCAATCGTGTGCTCAAACATTTACTCTATCATTCTACATGGATAATCCTAATTTTTTTACTAGATTAAAAATCCACTAAACAGCGTAGGTTAAAAATCCACTAAACAGCGTAGGATAAACCCGACAAACACAAAGGAACCTTAACCTTTGAGTACTTCCACTGTTGGGAGCATCACCATAACCTCCACGACCGCCCTCCCAGTCTGCCAAGAGAAAWAKAKAAAYKAAAAAAGGTAGATATTAATATCCTTCTTCTACTAAATGAATGGTGAATTATTTGCTCAAATAGTTTCCAAGCCACTGCATATAGAGAGAAACACAAAGGTAGCAATATGTATGAACTACGCTACTCAATGAAGGAGAAGTTCCGAATATTAAAGAAAGTCTAAAAGCTAGTCATTTTAAACATATATCAAAAGACAAGAAAACCAGATGCAAAATTGCTCATACTGATTCTGTCAACAGAACAGATGTCTCACCCTGATAGCGACCCATAAAGCGGCCCTGAGGCCTTTCATCACCATAACCAGGCCTCCCACCCATTTCACGATCATATCCACCACCGTAGTCATACCCGAATCTATATCATTTGGAAAGAAGCAGTTTGCACCAATTAGGAAATCTCAAAAATGATGAGATCATCGATACAGGAGGACAATATAAGTGTGAGAAACGTAGTTTGATTAGATATAAGAGGACAATACAGAGGCATTGCAATTTTTTCCAGCATATAATTTTCCTTCTAACACAAGGATTGACGAGTATTTTGCTTAACTAATGTAACTGGAAATAGAGACTTATGCACTTTCATTTCGTTGACAAGGAAAAGCAAAAAAGTCCGGTGTTCAACTTCCGATTTCAAAAGCTTCCTAAGAAAAAAGTAGCATAGGAGATGGAAGATTACCTTCGGTCGGGAGGGCCATAGCCACCACGGGGACTGCCACGGCGACCATCATATCCATTATCTTCTCTCCGGTAGCGTTTGT